GTCACTAGTGGATGCACTTGGGAAGTAACGTCTCTCCATCGTTGTGAATATTGCTGGAAGCTCTCGTTACGCTTCATCTCCATGTTTTCTAACATTTTTCGACCAGGGGTTATATCAGTCATGTGCTTGTACTGATCCAAAAAGGCTTGAGCTAAATCCTTCCATAAATGGTTTTGAGTATGACTTAGCTGAATATACCATTTGGTACCGGGTCCGGACAGAATGTCCTGAAAATAATGGATTAACAGCTTCTTATTCTCGCCATAGCCATCCATCTACCGATTGTACATGGTGATGTGGGACGAAGGGCATGTGGTCCCGTCATACTTCTTGAAATTAGAGCCTTGAACTTTGGTGGGAAGACCAAGTTAGGGCCTAAACCTAGCTCTTTAGCATCAAACCTATAGAATAACTCAACCATCTACCTATATTTTATCATATCCTCTATATTTTTAATTGTTGTGTGAGTTTCTCCTTCTCAACTAATTTATTCAAATCAAGAACCTCGATATCATCATGTAAATCTCTTGGTTTTAGTAATGATGCAACAAAATAGTTAGTGGGGAATTAAGCTCAAGCTTGATGTTGTGGGTTCTTAACAGTGAAGAAAGATGGTGGTCAAATTTCTTGATGCCCAGTTGTGTGCGTATGAATATAGAAAGGTGAAAAATTCAAACGATGCATAAGTTCTTCAGTAAGACTTTTTCTAGTGGTAACGTGTTTCCTAAACATCTCTTCCATTTTGTTCAGAATATCAAGATGAGAGATAGCAATAGCAGTCTTAATTTTAGCTAGCTTGCCTCTCACTTGTTCTTTCATCTCTTTATGTTCTTTATGAATTTTTGCTAGCCCATCCTCTGCTTTCTTAGGCATTTTTCTTGTGCCGTACAAGTGCAGAGTGTTCTTGCTACTAGTAGTGCCATGGTTAACTACGATCAGAAACTTTATCTTATTATTTAATGTCTCTAAATGAAAGAATATTTTAATGCATGATTTGGAAATGTGTTAAGCAATACAAACTCAATGAAAAATGGATGTGGGTAAAAGATATTTATCCAAAAATAACTATTCTTAAAACAATTCTCGAAGAATTGACAATGCCTCTACACAGTGGGAAAGTGAAAACCAAATATTACATATAAAATCTAGTTATATCTCCTAGCTCTTTAACTCCTGCAAGTAGTTTGACAATGCATCGTTCTTTGCCAGGCTTTGACATCACTAAAGTCCATAGAAAAAATTGGTTGAGCAAGCTCACGGTTCATAGCTTCTATCCTCAGCATTGAATCTGTTGGAATCGAACAGTCTATTCAACATATAGACTGTCTCTTGATTTACGTTTCTTATACTCTGATCGTGAATGAATCTCTGAAATTCTATCTAACCCATCATAAGACATTGTCGTTTCAAGAATCTACTAAAGTAACCAGTTATTTCAGGGATCAATATCTTTGATGATATATCTTGTCCATCCAAAAAAATAACACGACAAGAAAAAGTAAAATCAAGTTAGTAAAATTAATGTAATGATCAAATAAAAGAAACGTGTCTTAGCAAATTTTAAATAATAAAAAAACAGTTCATAAATGAAATAGTAAATAAGCATTGTGAATAAAATACAGGGAAAGTCATAACCCTAACCACATGCATTCTAGTTCTATTAGGGTATCCACATAGCTCTAGAGAGGTAGGCTTACTAAATTCTCTATATGAAGTTTGGTTCTAACAAGGATTCCCAAACTTGTCCTTACGACCTTCTAGTGTAAAAAATACTTCGATCTTGGCCCATTATAGACTTTTCATATCGAATTTAGCCCAGGGGATCTATCAAGGAAAATAGTATCTTTACAGACATAAAGAATGCTATCCATAGGTACTCTACCAGACAAGAACAAGGAAAAATGATATTACTTGATGGTCTGTCGTTTCCCACTACTTAGATGAACCAGAGAAAGCTCAGGTATAGAGCTATGATATGCAACAATCCTATTTATATTTAAATAGGTGAAAGCATTGACCAAAGATAAAATCTTTTTCGGTTTTCTAAAAACATAATGAATCGTGAATTAAATAAACTGAAACAAAAAATTTCAAACACTTGAAAGATAAGGTAATTTATCCATGGCTCGACTCTCTTTAAAAAAATATCCCCAACAGAGTCGACAAACTGTCGTAACTGATTTTCGATGGAAAGACCGATCTGACAGGTTAAAAATATAAGTTTTTTTATGAAAAGACGGGATTCGCCACTAATCACTTTTAAGGTGAGACTGAAACACCTAAAATCAGGTAATTCTAATAAAACATTTTATTTGATAAAAAATACCAAGTTTTGGTATGCCAAATTAGAAATCATGTTCAGGAGTCAGTTACGCGTGGGGAAGGATTAACACCCTTAAAAGGTCGTATTAACGTTTAATATTAATAATTTAATAGAAGGGACTGAAAAAAACAAAAACAAAAACAATAGCTCATTCTAAAATAAATGAATAAAATGAAAAAAGTGACTAAATCGCAATAAAATAAAATAGTAAGCTAACATTAGAATAAAAAAACATTCAGTGACCAAATTAAAGAAATCATAAAATAGAGCATTAAAATCAAAGAAATACAAACTTAAGGGACTAGTGACTGAAATGGAAAATGTGCTACACCTAGGGGACTACTAAGTAATTTACCCACTTATTTTAATATTTAACCAAGTTTTACCATTTTGGGTGAAGATAAAACAAAACCTAAAACACAAAATCTTTCACTTTCTATACTATAAGTTTTTTTTTATGAAAAGACGGGATTCGCCACCAATCACTTTTAAGGTGAGACTGAAACACCTAAAATCAGGTAATTTTAATAAAAACATTTTATTTGATAAAAAATACCAAGTTTTGGTATGCCAAATTAGAAATCATGTTCGGGAGTCAGTTACGCATGGGGAAGGATTAACACCCTTAAAAGGTCGAATTAACGCTTAATATTAATAATTTAATATAAGCGACTGCAATGAAATAAAAACAAAAATGATAGCTAATTCTAAAATAAATGAATAAAATGAAAAAAAGTGACTAAATAGCAATAAAATAAAATAGTAAGCTAACATTAGAATAAAAAACATTCAGTGACCAAATTAAAGAAATCATAAAATGGAGCATTAAAATCAAAGAAATACAAACTTAAGGGACTAGTGACTGAAATGGAAAACGTGACCTAGGGGACTACTATGTAATTTACCCACATATTTTAATATTTAACCTAGTTTTACCATTTTGGGTGATGATAAAACAAAACAACACATAATCTTTCACTTTCTATGCTTGGCTTATTCTCCACTCTCCCACAACCGTCTGCGGCCAAGAATCCCAAACGACATGAGGCTAACATCGACTGCAAAACGCGGTGGCTCCCATTTCAACCTAAATCGAATAAAAACTAACTCCTCCTTTTTATCTCCTTTCTCCTCTCTCTTCGTCTCATGGCCGAAGCCCCAAATGCTTGAGGACATCTCGTCGGCCACCATAAATGGTGATCGTTTGAACCAAACCCCGACGAGAACCAAAATGAATCAAACCCTTTCCTTTTTGTAAAGAAAACTAGATAATTCAAACCGAAAAATGCCTCTGAACCCAAAAAAAGAATCCCGACCATTCATGTTCTCAACTATGGCGAATGCTTCCCCCGTCGACGATACCTCAATAACAAAGGTAACAAATATTGAACCCCTTTGCCTTTAATATGGTTTTTTGGTTTGAATGTGTTGTTTTTCTTTGTCTATTGCTTGTGTTTCGAATTAGGACAAGAAGAGATAAGTGGGGGATACTTTTTTACAATTCTTTGAACCAAAATGGGAGAGACTCTCCTCTATTTTTCGAATGGGGCCTTACTATTTCTTTTTGAGAAAAAAATGGGGGACGAGAGAGACCCTTTTACAATTCTTTCTCTCCTTGAAAATCAGGGAACCAGCCTCTTTTACAATACTTTGTTTGGTTTAAATATCCCCGCTACAGAAAAAAACAAACAAACTAGAATTTACAATTTTTCTTCCTTTTCGTGCACGTTACTCTGATGCTGATTGGAACATTTGGTGGAGTTGATTGGAGGAAAAGAGGACACGGGACCTCTATTTTGCTGGCACCTGCGTGGAGCGAAGCTGTTGGGACTCGTTGGTAGCATGTGATGGCGTGGATTAGCATTGGGGACCACTTGGCGTGAGACTCGGTTGCACTGGTGGCCATGGGACAACAAGGCGCTGGTGTGGCTGATGTGGAGCAAAGGGGTCAGTTGAGGAGGCCACTCACCTGGGGGCTAAAGGTTTCGACGGTGGTTTTTTCACTCGTGGAGTTAAGGTTTCTCCAATATGATGCGGGCTGCTATATTTGGGCTTAGGGTTTGAATGTAATGTGTTTATGGGTTAAATGTAAATGGGTTTTGATAATTTAATTTGGGTTGCTAAAGTTTGTGTTAATATGGGTATGTAAATGGACACTTGGACACATGATTTTTTTTAATTTTTTAATATTTTTGGTATTTAGGTTTTAATAATAGGAAATTGTATAATTTAATTTGGCCATTTAAGTTCCATAATGAACGCACATGGTCACCAAACCCGATTAAGTAAATGCACACCACCAAAGCCACTTGAATTAATTCGATCTCAATGCACTAACCTCTTTCAATTGGTATTCGATCCTCTTTAGTTCGATTTAAAATTTTCTGACAAAATTAGGTATTACAGCTAATGATAGTAGTCTATTATAATGGTTCTGTAAATATCATAATATTAATTTATATGTACATTTTGAACCAATAATATAAAATAAAAGGTTCTGTAAAGAAACATTAATATGAAAACCCTACGTGTAATATATCTATCCACCACCTGTCTTAAATTTTTATCTAACCTTTTCTTTTCTTTCTAATAAATTTTCTAATACATTTTCTTTGTTTAATCCATTTCTATGTAGAACAATAACATCATTACAATGCTATAATTTAGTTTCCTACGTAGTCTCAGATGCTGACATTGCTTCCGATATCAGTGGATTAAAATTTAAAAGAAAACAATATAATAACTTGTTATATATATATATATATATATATTAGTTTAGATCTTCCATGGGGTCTCGAAGAGGTACTCCCTTCATCCTCCTGCCCGGCCTAGTCGTCGGAGGTGCTGTCGACGGTGTTATGCTAATTTGTTGTTCGTTGCAATTCAATAATTTGTACTCTCACTGCTACACTTGTTATATTCACCAGCTCACCCTCTGACTTGTTTGCTTCTTTGTACATTTTCTTTTTGTTTCCAGATATTCCGACAACCTAAAATTAATAATATCTTAATTTATAAAGAATTGAATTAAAATGGAGTAATTGATTAATATTTATGTTAACCAGACTTATAAGAAAAATACGATTAGATTTTGTTAAATCTTACAATATATTCAATTAATCCTAATATTTAAGTGTGAGATACGAATATTATGTAAAAAGGAAACAATTGTTTTTAACAAAATCTTAATGTTTATGTTGGAAAAATTAATAGATTAGTTGAATGATATTGATACTACTCATAAAAAGTCATAAGTTATGTCGCTTTTTGAATAAACTTATTAATAATAATTCATGTCATTTGGTGAATAGATTTATTTTTTGATTTAAAGTTGCATCCATTCAATTTTACTTGTTAGATTTCAACAAATATCGTCATCATATGGTCTTAAATATTCAACAAAAGTTCATAACATTTTAATTCATTTCCTCTCCTCTGTAAATAGTTTAGTTGCGACACAAATTTAGACACAACATATAACTTTGAAATAGGAAAAAACTTAGAAAAATTCTTCTAAATTCATTATTTATAGGTGATATAGAAAGATAATATTGTGTTTGATTGATCACTTGATATGATCTCGATTATGTGTTTCGAGTCATTTATGTGAATGCCCGATCGTGATTCTAGTAAGAAACCCCGTAATGATAGCTTGAACTCTGAAAATTGCATCAATATAACATAAGAAGGAAATGATATAAAATAATAATTGAAATGATATAATGAAAAAGAATGAGGAAGTTGTTTGAAGGTGATGGAAGAATGATGGTTGTTGTGGTTTAATGATAATGAAAAATAGATGGTGAAGTATGAATGGCGTTGTCGTGGCAAATTTTGTTGTCGTGGTAAGTGTTGTAAGGTTAAAGTGGATTGTGACCCGTTAGCTATTTGGAGATAAGAACCAACAATATAAAAAAATGGAATTGAAATGGTAGGGTATGGAACGTGACCCACTAGCTATATATGAGCTAGGAACCAACGCTATAACAAAAGGAAATGGATGAAGACTACAAGACTATCTTGAAGCCGATAAAGTTCTACAAGAGAACAAGAATGAAAGCAACCTCTCAAAGATGTTTTATATATTCAAAATGTGTCTACAAATGATCCCAAAGGTTCCTATTTATAGTATTTCTAAGAAGCATATGAAAAGACTCAAAAGATGAAAACATTCTCATCAATTTAGCAATAAAATGCACTTGAATGCTTTGTCTTCTTATCTTCAAAGTTGGATGAATATTCTAGATCATTTTGGGATGAATCTAGACATTTTGAAGCTGAATTTGGCCTTAATTTCGTCCAAGGGGAGGAAGACTCTTGCTATTCCATGCTGAAAATTGTTTTGATAAGTGAATTAAATCACCCTTCATTGCATGCTCCCTTGAAGAATATGAACAGCCCTTGAACTTAGATGATAACAAACAGCTTTTAATGTCTTTAATAGGTGAATTAAGAGTCCTTCAATGGCTTGTCACTTGGCTGAAGTTGAAAAGACTCTCCCTTGGCTCAAACTCATCCAAATCATCCATGCATAAAATTCCCGTAACAATTCCAGCCTGCACTGTCTTCAATAAATCGATCATATCTCAAGCTCCCGATATCGGATTAAGGTGATTCAAAAGGCGTTGGAAAGATAAGAGATATAGGAATAATTTCAAATTTATTTCTAGAACCAAACACATAAGTATCGCATCCAGAATTGGAAGACATTCTGACTAACATTCTTGCATATGATGAAACCATTCAACTTCTCTCATGCACCTAGACACAAAAGTGAACTTTATTCAATATTTAATTGAAAAAATGCATGAAACAATTAAGAGTTAATCTAATAAATGAACTAATTTGATGAATGAACTAGATGATTTAAATGCAATGCATGCTTGAATGAACAATACACTTATTAAATGCAATGAATGTTATGCAAACTTTAAATTCTCATGCAAATTCATGCATAATCAAAGTAAAGTGTTTCTCCCTTATTATTCCTTCTTCATAACATTCCAAACATGATGTGAACATACTCTCCATGGCTGCTTGAAACTCCTTAGCCCTTGCTCGTGTGATGGGGTCACTTGGGTACTTCTCCGGGTCTTTGCTATTGGCGATTATATCAGTCCCTCCCTCTTTAAGGTGATTTGTCCCCCTATATCATATGGAGACAAGTCAGCAACATTGAAGGTTGCACTGACATTAAACTCACCTGGAAGATCTAATTGATAGGAGTTGTCATTGATCTTCTTGACTATTTGGAATGGTCCATCTCTCCGAGGCATTAATTTGGACTTTTGTTTAGCCGGAAACCTTTCTTTCCTCATGTGCAGCCACACCCAATCCCCTGGCTCAAAAGTAATTCACTTACGACCCTTATTTGCTTGCTGCTTGTATTGTTTAGTTCGCTTTTCAATGTTCTCCCTCACTTGTTGATGAAGCTTCTTAACAAACTCAGCTTTGTTAAGTCCATCTTTATTCACAATTTGATCAGTAGGTAATGGTAACAAGTCTATCGGTGTTAATGGATTGAACCCGTATACCACTTCGAAAGGCGTACGCCCCGTAGTAGTATGGATTGAACGGTTGTATGCTAACTCCACATGTGGTAAACTATCTCCCATGTTTTCAAATTCTTTCGAATGATAGATCGAAATAACGTGGAAAGTACTCAATTCACCACTTCAGCTTGACCATCCGTTTGAGGGTGGCAAGTGGTGGAGAATAGTAGCTTAGTACCAATCTTACTCCATAGGGCTCTCCAAAAGTGGCTTAAGAACATCACATCCCGATCAAACACAATAATTCTTGGTATACCATGTAGCCTTAAAATTTCCCTGAAAAACAACGTAGCAATATGTGAGGCATTATTAGTTTTGTCACAGGGAATGAAATGCGCCATTTTGGAAAAAACTATCAACAACTACACAGATGGAGTCTTTGTTGTTCTTTGTGCGTTAAAGGCCTAGCACAAAATCCATTGACATATCCATCCATGGTGCTTCCGGTATGGGTAGTGGTGTGTAAAGTCCATGTGGCATGACTTTAGATTTGGCCTTCTTGCAAGTGATGCAACACTCACATAACCTTTCCACATCTCATTTCATTTTGGGCCAATATAGATGTTCTTGAAGTATAGCCAAAGTCTTTGCTATCCCAAAATATCCCATTAATCCTCCTCCATGGGATTCCTTAGTGAGCAATTCTCGCATGGAACCTTGTGGGACACATAGTCTCCCTTTCTTGAATAGAAAATCATCATGCTTAAAGTATTTATCAATCGTCCCTTTCTCACAAGCTTTGTAAATTTCCCCAAAATCAGAGTCAGTAACATATAAGTCTTTAATAAAGGTAAAACCCAAAAACTTAGATTCCAAAGTGTTAAAAAGAACATACCTTCATGACAATGCATCGGCAACTATATTCTCCTTACCTTTCTTGTACTTGATAACATATGGAAAAGTTTCAAGAAACTCTACCCATTTAGCATGCCTTTTGTTGAGTTTATGCTGCCCCCGAATATGTTTCAACGCCTCATGATCTGTGTGAATGGTGAACTCCTTAAGCCAAAGGTAGTGTTGTCATGTTTCCATTGCCCTCACAAGAGCATAGATCTCTTTGTCGTAGGTAGGATAGTTAAGCGTAGCTCCACTTAATTTCTCACTAAAATAGGCTATAGGACATCCACCTTGAGACAAGACTGCTCCAATTCCTACACCTGATACATCACATTCAATTTCAAAAGTTAAATTAAAATCTGGTAGAGCAAGTAATGGGGCATGTATTAAACAATCTTTAATTCTATTAAAGGACTTCTCTTGATCTTACCCCCAAAAGAATTTAGATTTCTTCTTAATAACACTTGTTAGTGGGGCGGCTATGGTGTTGAAGTTTGGGACGAATCTCTGATAAAAACTTGCAAGTCCATGGAAGCTCCTAACTTGAGAAACGCTTTCTGGTCGTGGCCACTCTTCAATGGCTTTAACCTTCTCTTTGTCAACCTCTAAACCTTCAAAACGCACAACAAAACCTAGGAAAACAACCCTGTCAGCACAAAATATACATTTTTGTAAATTAGCAAACAATTTTTCCTTCCTCAAAACAAGTAAAACTGACCTCAAATGTTGAACATGTTCTTCCATGGTTTTACTACATATTAGAATGTCATCAAAATAAACCACACAAAACTTACCCAAGAATGTTCTAAGAACATGATTCATTAACCTCATAAATGTGCTTGGTGCATTAGTTAAGCCAAAAGGCATAACCAACCACTCATAAAGACCTTGCTTCATTTTTAATGTTGTTTTCCACTCATCACCTTCTCGCATTCGTATTTGGTGGTAACCACTCTTACGATCAATCTTGGAAAAGAGGTTAGAACCGCTAAGCTCATCTAAAATGTCATCTAAGCAAGGAATAGTGTGACAATACTTTACCGTAATTTTGTTTACCGCTCGACAATCCACACACATACGCCAAGATCCATCCTTTTTTGGCACAAGTAGAACTGGCATGGCACATGGGCTAAGGCTTTCCCTCACGTAGCCTTTTGCCATCAACTCAGATACTTGTCTTTGTAATTCCTTAGTTTCTTCAGGGTTGCTTCAGTTTGCTGGTCGGTTTGGAATGACGACACTAGGAACAAAGTCTATTTGATGTTATATGCCACGAATAGGTGGCAACCCACTTGGTATTTATTCCGGAAATAGGTCATCAAACTCTTGCAATAAAGACACAACAAAAGCAGGTAAATTTTGATCAAGGTAGTTAGTGTTCAAAATTTTTTCCTTGTACAATAGCATAAGTGCTTCCTTTGCCGTCATTAAACACCTTTTCAACTCTCTCTCTTTAGAAAGAATGATAATTTTCCTTCCCTCATTTTGATCACACTCTTTTGCTTTTACCTCCATTTTGGTCTCTCTCTCTTTGGCTTTTTCAAATTTTCCTCTCAATTGAATTTGGTCTTCATGTATTTGCTTTGGTGAAAGTGGAGCTAAAGTGATCTTTCTTGCCTCATGTGTGAATCTATACCGGTTGGTATAACCGTCATGGATCACTCGCCTATCAAATTACCAAGGCCTTCCAGGTAGTAAATGGCTTGCGTGCATTGGTACGACATCACATAACACCTCATCTTTGTACTTCCCTATGGAGAAAACAATTTGAACTTGCTTGGTCACCTTGAGTTCTCCTCCATCGTTGAGCCATTGTAATTTATAAGGTTGTGGATGCTTTGTTGTTGCTAAGCCAAGTGTATCTACCATTAAGGTACTAGCAACATTAATACAACTACCTCCATCAATAACAACAAAGCATACCTTTCCTCCAACGTGCCAATGAGTATGGAAGATATTTTCACGTTGTTTATCTCCTCCATTGGATTGCACGTTTAGGCTCCTTTTGACAACAAGAACCTCTCCTTCCACGACATGCTCTAATTCTTCTTCATCAATGGTAGCATCTTCATTCTCATCCTCTTCTTGTCCCGATTCAACTTCTATATCATCTCGAAGAAGCATGGTGTTGCGATTTGGACATTGGCTTGTAATGTGTCCACACCCAAACACTTAAAACATTGCATGTCACGGGAACGATTTGGAGTGGAGGCAGTATTACCCTTGCTGGTTTCGACAATGGGCTTACTTTCTTTGGGTGGTCCTCCTCTTTCGTGGGATGACAATGGAGGAGTCTTCTTGTATGAACTTTGCCCCCATTTTGAAGTTGCACTCCCATAAGATTGTGCGACACCCTTTCTTTTGAGTTGCTTTTCCACCTTTATGGCCATATGTACCATGTCTTCTATTTCCACATAATGTTGTAACTCAACCACGTTCGCAATGTCCAGATTAAGTCCCACTAGGAATCTTACCATTGTGGCTTATTGATCCTCATCGATGTTGGCTCAAATCATGGCCACCTCTATCTCTTTGTGATAATATTCAACACTTCGATTACCTTGTGAAAGGTTTTGAAGACGGTTGAATAACTCCCGATGGTAGTGGGTTGGAATGAATCATCATCGTATCACTGCTTTCATTTCATCCCATGTAGTGATAGGATGTTCTCCATTACGTCTCCTACTTGATGTCAATTGATCCCACCATATTAGTGCATAATCCATAAACTCAATGGCAGTGAGTTTTACCTTCTTGAGTTCAGAATAATCATGGCACCCAAAGATGTGCTCTACCTTCTTTTCCCATGCTAGGTAAGCCTCGGGATCCGTCTTTCCTTGGAATGATGGAATATAAATCTTGATATTAACAAGATTATCATCCATTAATGGACGAAACCTTTGGGGCCTTATACCTCGATTTCCCATTATTTGTTGTGATGCACGATCTTCTTATGGTCTTTCCATTTCTTCATTTCCCCCTTGATTAACATCTTCTTGCTCTCGAAATCCTTGAGTACACTCTTCTTCAATACGGTAAATACGTTCATGGAGAGGTTCCAACTCTTCCCTCAAAATCCTACTCAATTCACGCACCATGGCTTGCATTTGTAGGTTTGGTTCAACGGTACCTATAACTTGAGAATTGTCTCCCGAATGATGAGACATAATTAGTAATAAAAAATAACCTCACACAACAAAAAACCTCACCAAACACTCCAAGAAAAGTCACTCCCACTCGTGTTTCACTCGGGATGGCTTTTACCCTTAATGATCACTCTTACCTTTTACCACTCGTGCTTTGATTTCAAGTCCTTTTGGGAACTTCCTCAAGGCTTACAAGGTATAGTGGACTTCGGCTGAAACAATTATGGTTTGGTAGTAATGATAGTGAAAGGAAATTGGCTACAAGGAAAAGAGATGGTAAGTAAAGGTAAAAATTGAATAATTGAATGTAAAGATGAAGTAAATATTTTTTTCTTTAAAGATGAAAAGAATTACTCCCTCCCTCTTTAAACTTTTTTTTCTTTTTTTTTTGTTTTGATTTTTTTTGATTTTTTTGATTTTTTTACTAACTAGGAAGAGAGAAAAACGATACGCTTACTGAATCGACTATCTCTGATGCCAAATGATATGATCTCGATTATTTGTTTCAAGTCATTTATGTGAATGCCCGATCGTGATTCTAGTAAGAAACCCCGTAATGATAGCATGAACTCTAAAAATTGCATCAATATAACATAAGAAGGAAATGATATAAAATAATAATTGAAATGATGGAATGAAAAGAATGAGGAAGTTGTTTGAAGGTGATGGAAGAGTGATGGTTGTTGTGGTTTAATGATAATGAAAATAGATGGTGAAGTATGAATGGCGTTGTCGTGGGAAATGTTGTTGTCGTGGTAAGTGTTGTAAGATTAAAGAGGATTGTGAGTCATTAGCTATTTGGAGCTAAGAACCAACAATACAAAAAAATGGAATCGAAATGGTTGTGTATGGAACGTGACCCACTAGCTATATATGAGCTAGGAACCAACGCTATAACAAAAGGAAATGGATGAAGACTACAAGACTATCTTGAAGCCGATAAAGTTCTACAAGAGAACAAGAATGAAAGCAACCTCTCAAATATGTTTTATATATTCAAAATGTGTCTACAAATGATCCCAAAGGTTCCTATTTATAGTATTTCTAATAAGCATATGAAAAGACTCAAAAGATGAAAACATTCTCATCAATTTAGCAATAAAATGCACTTGAATGCTTTGTCTTCTTATCTTCAAAGTTGGATGAATATTTTAGATCATTTTGGGATGAATCTAGACAATTTGAAGCTGAATTTGGCCTTAATTTTGTCCAAGGGGAGGAAGACTCTTGCTATTCCATGCTGAAAATTGTCTTGATAAGTGAATTAAATCACCCTTCATTGCATGCTCCCTTGAAGAATATGAACAGCCCTTGAACTTAGATGATAACAATCAGATTTTAATGCCTTTAATAGGTGAATTAAGAGTCCTTCAATGGCTTGTCACTTGGCTGAAGTTGAAAACACTCTCCCTTGGCTCAAACTCATCCAAATCATCCATGCATAAAATTCCCGTAACAATTCCAGCCTGCACTGTCTTCAATAAATTGATCATATCTCAAGCTCCCGATATCGGATTAAGGTTATTCAAAAGGCGTTGGAAAGATAAGAGATAGAGGAATAATGTAAAATTGATTTCTAGAACCAAGCACATATGTATCTCATCCAGAATTGGAAGACATTCTGACTAACATTCTTGCATATGATGAAACCATTCAACTTCTCTCATGCACCTAGACACAAAAGTGAACTTTATTCAATATTTAATTGAAAACATGCATTAAACAATTAACAGTTAATCTAATAAATGAACTAATTTGATGAATGAACTAGATGATTTAAATGCAATGCATGCTTGAATGAACATCACACTTATTAAATGCAATGAATGTTATTCAAACTTTAAATTCTCATGCAAATTCATGCATAAACAAAGTAAAGTGTTCCTCCCTTATTATTCCTTCTTCATCACATTCCAAGCATGATGTGAACATACTCTCCATGGCTGCTTGAAACTTTTTAGCCCTTGCTCGTGTGATGGGGTCACTTGGGTACTTCTCCGGGTCTTTGCTATTGGCGATCATATCATCACTACTGTGGTGATTGTTTGTTGATGTATCTTGAGAAACTAATGTCCAACGTTACTAAAAGTACCGAGGAGTGAACGAATAAGTCTTAAGGAAACTGTTGATACATGTCTCAACAAAACAACTTTTGTTTTTATGAACCTGCTCATTTAATTCCCTGCCTACAAACAAGTAAGCAATTTCGTTTCTCTATTTTAATTTTAATTTTTTTTTTGTTTTGTTCGATTCAATAATTATCACTATTTTATTATTATTTTGTTGCAATTATAAAAACATTTCTATTGTTTAAATTGTTTGGTGTAAGTACCAACCTTCAATGTTTGGCCTGCGCACACTGCACCTTAACCCACATATTATTGGTTGATGGTTTAAGTTGGCAGCAATGAAACTAGTGACGATTGCTTATTTATTTCCCTAATTAATGATTCACTAATGTGTTTTGATTAATCAAATTTTGTGCAGGATCGAAATCCCACGTACAATAACCTTATGTGGGGGAATCCATATATACAAACTATGTGGTGAGTTTAGTTGTTTCTTTCAATATACAAGTCTCATCACCGGAATAAATATTTAGACCTAAGAGCATTTTCAGGAAGTTTGTTGCACGCTGCCTCTCTACGCTCCATTTGAATCACCTAGCTTTGATTTTCAGGAAGTTTGTTTCTTTTTAACAATATTTTATTAAACAGTGTACATATTTTAGATGTTAGTTTAATAAATTGTCACCGTTTAATAGAAGTTGGTTCTGTTTCGAGTTTTAGTTTACTAAATTATTGTCATTCAAAGGAGTTAGTTCTGCTTCGGGTTTTATTTATAATAAAACTTGAGAACGGGTTCAACAAAATAGTGTTGATTACGAATATTAATTAGGTTTTAGTTTTACTAAATTCTGTATGTTTAAAATAAATTACTCAATTATTGGGTTTTAGTTTCTGACTAAAACTCATTGCAATTAATATGGTATCGAAACGAAATTGTGATATGTTGTGAATAGAAATTGAGCTAATAATTCTATTTCAGGATTATAAGCATAAATCAATCTATTTTGGGATTTTTAATCATATTGTCCAATAGAATTTATTTGATTTGTTATTTATAATAAAAATTATTTGAAAGTAACAAACGTGTTATTGGATTTGTTTCAGAATTTTAGTTCATTATTAAATTCTGTCATTGAACATGATCAAATGGTAAATAAACTAGAATTTAATTTTAGTTTATTATTCTTATTTCACGTTTTGCATTTTAAATGAAATAATTAGTAACCCCACCGATTCACCTAACTCGTGACCTAGAATGTTGATTCATAGTCAGACTTTGAATAAATTCAATAGTGTCGATGGCCCTGAGCCACAACGTGAATCCTATGAAATTTCCTAGACAAAGTTAAAAGACATGACAACATAAATATTGTTCTAATTGAACATGTTAAATTTTAAAAATCATATGATGATTCTTTTATCAATAGAGAGGATAAGGTAAACATTGTTATCGCAATCATTACTGTTGAATCTCGTGAATACTTTGACTTGCTATGTCAGAAATACATCATAAATGAATTGTCAGATTCACTATATGAAGTGTATAATACCCATAAGAGGATTAAAGAATTAATGATGACATTTATCCATGAATACAAAGTGGAAGAATTTGACCTTAAAAGAAATGATGAACATGTGGGGAAGTTGTTCTATCAATTTGGGAAAGAGACAAGACATCATATGAGTTATAGAAAAGTTGAAAATTCTTCCTATAACTACTTGAAAGTATGGAGGTGTCTTGTGAAAGTAATGACCTAAATATACATACATTATGGTAACCAAACAAGGATTGATGGAGTAGAAAACATGATGTATAATGGTAGGTCAAGACATTTGTGTCGTCGACATAATATCGTTAGACAATTGATCTCAAATAGATTTACCTCATTGATTTTGTAAAATCCAAAAATAACATTGTAGATCCATTAACCAAAGATTTGAATCGAGATCGAGTTGATAAAAATCGAAAGGATTTGGTCTAAAGCTCATGAATTGTTAAGGCTTTATGCGAAGGAAAATCTAACGTAATTGATTTAAGATCCCAAGTTCTAAGTTCAATGGGAGAACCAACTCGCATAGACCTTGTTAGGTTATTATAGGAGTTCTTATCCCAAGTCCATTCCTGTAATGAAAATGTTGATTATAATGTGAAAAAGGTTAAGTAATGCTTTTGATAATTATTGCTTGTTTTGGTGAGCTGAACAACATAAGTCACCTATGTGTAAGTGAAGTGGAGTCACTTCAAGAAGAATATTGGAACATAGTTCTATAAGCTCTTGCAAAATCAAGAGATGTCCACGGCTATATGGACATAAACATGAGAACAAAATTCTTTTCACATAGATATTTGTGTGAGGTATGTCATCGCTTACATAAACGATAGGACAATTCAAGGACATCACGTCTATTGTACATCTAGTAAAGTAAACATATTTTAACAAAGAAAGGTTCAAAGGGGACGCATGCCTATCATATGCAAATATCGAACATATAATCTAGCACCATATCGAGTCAATGGGTTTGAACCATCAATTTCATTCATGTAGGGCATTGTTGAGAAAATTAAAAGATTAGTTGAATGATATTGATGTTATTTATAATAAGTAACTTCACTCGGTGAATAGATTTATTTTTTGTTTAAAAGTTGTATCGTTCAATTATATCTATTAACTTTTGAACCTGTTTGTTCATCAAATGGTCTTAAATCTTCATCGAAAGATCACAAACTTTTGATTCAAGTCCTCTCCACTATAAATAGGTTAGTTGAGACACAAATTTAGACATAACTCAGAACTTTGGGATAGGAAGGCACTTAGAAAATTCATTATTTTCAATGATAGAGAAAGGTAAGATTGTGTTCGATTGATCATTATTGTTGTGATTGTTTTTTTTTTGTAGCCTAGGAGACCAACGTCTAATGTTACTCAAAACACCAAGGAGAGGACGAATTTGTCTTAAGGAAACTGCTGATATAAAACTTCTTTTTTTTTTTTGACTTTGTTCATCCAATTCCATGTCTACAAAACTTCAATAATAATGGCTATTTGATTATTATTTTATTTCTTGGGTTAACGTTTTATCTAATAGTTTATTTTTTATGATTCAGTTATTATTTATCTTAATCAAAGATTGATGTATGGAAAGGTGCTTATTTTGTTCAACACCATGGACGTAACTTCCTCTACTAAAAGTTGTTTCCCTTTATATTTCTAATGGATTACTATCATTGTTTTATCTCTAGGTTCTAGAATTATCCTAAAAGACCATAATTTAATATCGTTTCGAATGGAAGAATCAAAGAAACGATGACTGATAAATCTTTTGGCATAAAAACAATATTTTAAGAGTTCATGGAGACTTGGTTCTTTGACATGTCCCATATTACCAATTTTACTATGCTTTTGATGAAGATTGAGTTGAGTTTTATGTTTATATTAATTTGGTGTCAAAGTATTTGGTCAAGGGCTATCAATATAGACCAATCCAGTCATCCAAATGTGCCACATCAAATTTATGTGATTGCGATAATGATGGCTAACAGTTCAATTACCGATTTATTACAAAACAACAAAGTTAGTGACTATTTCATTAATTTTGAAACTTTAGTGCTAAAAAAAGAACCTACTCATACTTCAGTTATCTTTTTTGTGGTTTACCCTTTAAAGTTATCTAATATACTAATGTCGTGCGCTTCTCAATGTTCAACAAACATGACGTTTTCCCAACGATACCACCTAACTCACCAAACCTGTATCGAACACATTCATGTTGCCCTATCCCAAAATCACCCCTCTTCACATGAACCACCAACATTAATAAATCTTCTCTTAACATGTTGTTTCTATATTTACCACCCTCTTTCATTTTCATTTATTTGCTCACTTTAACAATTGATTAATACCCCACTTTGAATCCTTCATATTATCCTCGGATTATATCCAATGTTAGTAACTCTTAAAATCATAATAATTTAAGAGCCTCATATCTTGACTTAACAAAATTCTCCTTACTCATAATGGACATCTTAATTTTGCATCACTCTCTTCTTACTGAGAAACTGTATCCATGGACCATACAAATCTTCGAGATATTTCATAGAATCTTTTGTGTTAATTTGTTTAGATTCACCATGGACCTTGAATTGTACCATTGCCACACAATTCTTTATCTCCATATCTTACAAAGTAGTACGAAATATTTGGTAAATTCTCGTATTCAATATGTTGTCGATGTCCATCTATGACTGCACTAGAAATTAGGAGTTTATTTAGATCAACTACAAGAGAATCATTCTCATGTCTTAATTTGGAAGGATTTAATATGGACCATTGGATTTAAGTTGATTTTCCATGTTAAATCTTCGTCGTTGGATGAAAAATGGCATGATTTTAATTTTAGAAAATCGCAAGGTCAAAATTGGTATATACTAACTCCTTCGATTAATTCTAGCCTCTAGATGAAGATATGGACATGTGACATGATGGTGAACTTTTGATTTTAAGGTCAAAAAGGTCATTTAACATTAAATGAATTTTTAAATTATTTTATCATTAAAAGATGACAAATTAGCATAATATTTTTACATAGAATTTTCAAAACTTTCTGTTCATATTTTTTCAATTGTCGTGAGGTTCCTACAAGATCGTGATCAAATTTGAGATCAAAGCAAGCTTAAAGCTAAAGAAAAAGTTCAGGAGTAAAGCTTGAATCGCTAAGTAAGGTTTACTAGTGAGGCATTACCAGATGAGTGCATTCATACCTATACTATTATAAATACGATATGAGGAAGACTTACGATGAGTCTACCTCAAATGATTTAAAAAAATGGATTTTAAATCGTTTTTACTATATATATATTATCTTGTTAAATTTTATTGAATGATTTATGGTATGAATTGGCCAATACGATATTATATTATATTTTGATATATTTTTGTCTATGAATACTTTGAAATGTAAATGGTACATGGATTTAAATAAAAAGCCCATTGTATGTGTATTGACAGTTATTGGTACAATTGGCATGCCGTGAGATGGAGTGTTTATTGATCAATTATATATTTGTACATTCGTGTATATCATAGTGAAGGATACATTTTATGGCATTTGTATGATATTGGATCCTGCACATATATGATGTTGGTGCGATGTATTCATGATTATAGGTACAATGATGTTGTGTTCTACAGTACTTGAACACATATATGGCAACTATGGTGCAAATATATGGCACTAAACGTGCAATTATTCATAAGGCAATTAAATGCATATAGTACACTAGTATATGACTCGCATACCATGCATTCTCATTCATCATAAAATTGGGCTGTGATATGAGATGATATGGAAACATACAGATTTGATTGAATTGAAAGTAAAGTTTTTATCGAGAATTTTAGTTTGGCGTTGAATGCCTTATCTGTGAACTGTTAAGTTATAGATAAATTTTATACGATGTTTTCCTATTATGATACATATATTATGATTTGTTACATATATGTTTTATTATTATTTTTATTATTAGTAGTAGTAAAACAATGACTCACTAAGTATATACTTTGCGTGTGATAATTTTCACACGTAGGTAAAGGAAATCAAGTGAAGTAAGGAGCACAATATGACATCATCTTATCAAGAAATATCTACTAGTACTAGTAATGACATCCTACTGTTATTTTGATTTTAGGTGGCATGTATTTTTATATGTCTTGATGCTCAGATATGTCTATGATATAAAATGGACTGTAAAAGTTATATGTGTGGATTTCAGTAAGTAAAATATGATATAAATTGTTTGAAACTAGTTTAAAATGGATAAAATTTTTATAATTACTAGTAATAAGAATAGTTTACTAGATAGTATTTTAGTAAAATTGATATTTTTTATATCAACGTAAAATTTATTTTAGATAGTTTTTAGGAAATTTTACTCTTTGTATAAAACAATGTTTAACTGCCATGTTGCTTTCTGAAAATGGCCTTCAAATAAGTATTAAAATATAATATCTTAATGTTACACGATTTAGTAATTTTTTAGTATTTGACATTATTTAAATGATTTTATAAAAAACAAACTTTTACTGGTTTTCAAATAAGGCATGTTTTGAAAGTGTCATGTAACATATTGGACTCGTATTTGGTAACGTATAAGTGTAACACCCATTTCTCATATACGTTTCTGTACAGAAGTCACAGGTGTCACATAAATTTTAAAAACATTTCCTTATTTGTAAACCCATAAAAGTTTGTTTTGAAAATAAAACAACATTTTAATATAATAATAATAAAACGTTTGTTGTAACATATTACAAAAATTATAACTTAAATACATTCCAGAGCATTTTCATAAGTCCAAATAAATTCCATATAATTAT